GACACAAAAATAGATCTAAACCACGTCAGCATCGAGGTAACTCCCACCCAGTGATTGTTTCAGTCTCTGATTATCAGCTAGAATAATTGATAATACAGTGGCCTGTTTAAGGTACCCTCATTGCTGTATAAAACATACACCCGTAATTTTTTAGTCAATAATTTGTTTTTATTACAATAAAACCATGGATTAATGAATTCTGCAGGAAAATGCCAACCTTAGGCTGTATTTAGACGTTCACTTAACATTTCTGTTAGGAGTAATACAATTTTCCTTCTAAAGAAATGAACATGACATTAGCCTTTCAAAAAATGGTCGCCCATTCATTTTGTTCATAATTATTACTAAGATTCTGTCTTCTTACAATTTCTCGATGTCTATAAAGGTAATGCCATAACGTTAACACCTAAAAACAGTATTAACAGTGTGCCCTTTAGTTCATTTCGGAGAACTAGCTCACTAGGTTGCGCTCACTAAAACAAACTAGTTTTTTGAACTTTTTCGCAAACGACGAAGTTTTAAGAACTACTTCGCTTACGACCAAGTCTTAAGAACCAGTTCGCAAACGACCAAGTTTTAAGAACTATTTCGCAAACGACGTAGTTTGAAAAACTAGTTCGCAAACGACATACTTTTAACAACTATTTCGCGAACGAACTAATTTTAAGAACTATTTCGCAAATGAAATAGTTTCAAGAACTATTTCGCGAACGAACTATTTTTTGAACTAATTCGTAAGCGAACTAGTTGTAAGAACTAGTTTGCGACCAAACTAGTTTTGAGAACTAGTTCGCGAACGAACTAGTTTTAAGAACTATTTAGCGAACCAACCAATTTTCAGAACTAGTTCGCAAACAAAATATTTTCAAGAACTAGCTCGCGAACGTATCCTTAGAATTTCTCGATGTCTATGTAGGAAATCTCATAACACCTAAAAACAATGCGCCTTTTTAGTTCATTTTGGAGAGCTAGTTCAATAGGTCACGCTCCCTAAGACGAACTAGTACATAGTTTTAAGATCTATTTCGTAAACGAACTAGTTTTAAGCACTATTTCGAAAACGGATTATTTTTGAGAACTAGTTCACGAACGAACTAGTTTTAAGAACTATTTCGCGAACGAACTAGTTTTCAGAACTAGTTCGCAAACAAAATATTTTCAAGAACTAGGTCGCGAACGTGTCCTTAGAATTTCTCGATGTGTATGTAGGAAATCTCATAACACCTAAAAACAATGCGCCTTTTTAGTTCATTTTGGAGAGCTAGTTCAATAGGTCACGCTCGCTAAGACGAACTAGTACATAGTTTTAAGATCTATTTCGTAAACGAACTAGTTTTAAGCACGATTTCGCCAACGGATTATTTTTGAGAACTAGTTCACGAACGAACTAGTTTCAAGAACTATTTCGCGAATGAACTAGTTTTCAGAACTAGTTCGCAAACAAAACATTTTCAAGAACTAGCTCGCGAACGTATCCTTAGAATTTCTCGAAGTCTGTGTAGGAAATCTCATAACACCTAAAAACAATGCGCCTTTTTAGTTCATTTTGGAGAGCTAGTTCAATAGGTCATGCTCACTAAGACGAACTAGTAAATAGTTTTAAGATCTATTTCGCAAACGAACTAGTTTTAAGCACTATTTCGCCAACGAATTATTTTTGAGAAATAGTACACGAACGAACTAGTTTTAAGAACTATTTCGCGAATGAACTAGGTTTCAGAACTAGTTCGCAAACAAAATATTTTCAAGAACTAGCTCGCGAACGTATCCTTAGAATTTCTCGATGTCTATGTAGGAAATCTCATAACACCTAAAAACAATGCGCCTTTTTAGTTCATTTTGGAGAGCTAGTTCAATAGGTCACGCTCACTAAGACGAACTAGTACATAGTTTTAAGATCTATTTCGCAAACGAACTAGTTCAAAGCACTATTTCGCCAACGAATTATTTTTGACAACTAGTTCACGAACGAACTAGTTTTAAGAACTATTTCGCGAATGAACTAGTTTTCAGAACTAGTTCGCAACCAAAATATTTTCAAGAACTAGCTCGCGAACGTATCCTTAGAATTTCTCGATGCCTATGTAGGAAATCTCATAACACCTAAAAGCAATGCGCCTTTTCAGTTCATTTTGGAGAGCTAGTTCAATAGGCCACGCTCGCTAAGACGAATACATAGTTTTAAGACCTATTTCGTAAACGAACTAGTTTTAAGCACTATTTTGCCAACGAATTATTTTTGAGAACTAGTTCACGAACAAACTAGTTTTAAGAACTATTTCGCGAATGAACTAGTTTTCAGAACTAGTTCGCAACCAAAATATTTTCAAGAACTAGCTCGCGAACGTATCCTTAGAATTTCTCGATGTCTAAGTAGGAAATCTCATAACACCTAAAAACAGTGTTATCAATGCGCCTTTTTAGTTCATTTTGGAGAGCTAGTTCAATAGGACACGCTCACTAAGACGAACTAGTACATAGTTTTAAGATCTATTTCGCGAACGAACTAGTTTTAAGCACTATTTCGCCAACGAATTATTTTTGAGAACTAGTTCACGAACGAACTTGTTTTAAGAACTATTTCGCGAATGAACTAGTTTTCAGAACTAGTTCGCAACCAAAATATTTTCCATAACTAGCTCGCGAACGTATCCTTAGAATTTCGTGATGTCTATGTAGGAAATCTCATAACACCTAAAAACAATGCGCCTTTTTAGTTCATTTTGGAGAGCTAGTTCAATAGGTCACGCTCACTAAGACGAACTAGTACATAGTTTTAAGATCTATTTCGCAAACGAACTAGTTTTAAGCACTATTTCGCCAACGAATTATTTTTGATAACTAGTTCACGAACGAACTAGTTTTAAAAACTATTTCGCGAATGAACTAGTTTTCAGAACTAGTTCGCAAACAAAATATTTTCAAGAACTAGCTCGCGAACGTATCCTTAGAATTTCTCGAAGTCTGTGTAGGAAATCTCATAACACCTAAAAACAATGCGCCCTTTTAGTTCATTTTGGAGAGCTAGTTCAATAGGTCACGCACACTAAGACGAACTAGTAGATAGTTTTAAGATCTATTTCGCAAACGAACTAGTTTTAAGCACTATTTCGCCAACGAATTATCTTTAAGCACTATTTCGCGAACGAACTAATTTTAGGAACTATTGCGCAAACGAACTGGTTTTAAGAACTAGGTCACAAACGAACTAGTTGTAGGAACTGGTTCGCAAACGGTCTAGTTTTAACAACTAATTCGCAAACGACCAAGTTTTAAGAACTATTTCGCTAAAGAAGTAGTTTTAAGAACTATTTAGCGAACGAACTAGTTTTATGAACTAGTTCGCAAACAAAATATTTTCAGAAACTAGCTCGCAAACGTATTCTTAGAATTTCTCGATGTCTAAGTAGGAAATCTCATAACACCTAAAAACAGTGTTATCAATGCGCCTTTTTAGTTCATTTTGGAGAGCTAGTTCAATAGGTCACGCTCACTAAGACGAACTAGTATATAGTTCTAAGATCTATTTCGCAAACGAACTAGTTTTAAGCACTATGTCGCCAACGAATTATTTTTAAGAACTATTTCGCGAACGAACTAGTTTCAGGAACTATTTCTCAAACGAACTGGTTTTAAGAACTAGGTCACAAACGAACTAGTTGTAGGAACTGGTTCGCAAACGGTCTAGTTTTAACAACTAATTCGCAAACGACCAAGTTTTAAGAACTAATTCGCAAACGACCAAGTTTTAAGAACTATTTCGCTAAAGAACTAGTCCGCGAACGTAGTAAGTAGTATTAAGGACTTGATAATGATTTTTTTAAAATAATTTTCAATGTAAACTAAGTCTTTTATTATGCAACTTTTATATAGGTGATTCTTGGTATATTAACTTATTTTCACGAGTTCTATAAGCTCTTAAAATGAATGACTCAACTTTGAAAACACTCTGTATATGTTGCTGCTACTTTAACATTGTATAAATGTTAGCTAATTTTTTATTCATTTCAGTATTTGTAACTACCAGCATTATTTGTTATAATTTAATAACTTCATTTTGACCTGTTATATATATCATTGAACTAAACCACGACCGAATTTAGGCAACCAGTTATACAACCTTCAGCTTACTTGGTTGCCTTGATGGAGTCCCGTCTAGAAACTATTTAGTTCATTCGCGACCAGTTCTAAGGTAAAGAACCCGAAGTCAGGTGACGCCACTGAGTCAAGGCAGATTGTGAAAACCCATCCCTAACTCTTTACCGGTCACGAAAACCATTCGAAATTATAACTCTACTCGCCTAAGAAACTTTTCGTACTTAATAAATCATATTCATCAGTTATTCAGCATGTAAATGCTGCAGTCGTAACTGTCTTAACTTGTCGAATGATATATCTATGGTTAAGTGGATTTTTCCGTACATCCAGTATGTTATTGAGGAGGACGTATGAGAATAGTTTAAGTACAGATTATTTTGAAGAGAAAATTACATATATGTATTTTTCGTTTCCATGATAGTCGCATGCAAGCTCTGCTTTTCAGGATCAATACAGAAACGTCGTACTGATGATGATCATTTATAAAAGTTGGTTGTACGAGAAATATTCTGGAACTACGAATTAGCAAAATACAATCATTAATTTAGGTTACCTGACGAGGTTGAATTAAAGAAGACAACGCGTAAAATGGGTTAATGGACGACAATATGGATCTTGCCAGGAGCAGAAGTCCCGCGTTTATTTTTTTTAATTGGTGTTAAAAGGAGTATTTGAGGTGACTACAAGTCCTGCCATTCCAATGTTTAAAAAGTTTCGCGAGATAAAATAATAATACTAATAATAATAATAAAAACAAACACACACAAAGTAAACTCAGCTAGGTCGTATCATCGTTCTTTTCAACAGCTCCTGATTGCTGATGATTCAACCTTGAGGAACTCTTAAGGTGGACCATACAAGGAGCTCAAAGTCGCCAACACAGAACAGAAAATCGAACTTACCCGTATGAATGTAGGTGTGCTTTTTCATATCCGACTTTTGGTGAAACCTCTTCCCGCAATACTGACAAGGATAAGGCCGAGTATCAGAATGGATCAGCAGATGAGTTGATAACGTCGACGATCTTTTGAACGATTTGCCGCACTGTTGGCACTGAAACAAACAAGAAATACATGAGGGACGAAGCGATTTCTCGAAATGATAAACATGAGTAATCTTAAAAAAAAAACGATAAACATTATTATTATTATGATAATTGAGATGAGCAGAGTACACAGTACTATAAGCTCATGCAGTAAATATAGTGTACGTAACACAAATACATCAAATAGAAAAAATAAAAAAAGACAGTTCATAGCTATAAAGTTTGTACACTCCTCCAGCTATCATACTGCACTTTGAAGCTATTAACTGAAGTAGCACCAACCACACTTTCAGGTAAACTATTCCAGGTGTTGAATATGCGGTTGGGAAGAAACCACTGTCGGACTGTTGTTTTAAATGGCTCCTTATGCAGTTTGAAGCTGTGTCCGCGTAGATTGCTGCGCGACAGACGGTATAGATGCATTAGGCTGGTGCCCATCAAACCATGAAGTATCCATGAACGTAACTATAAGATCGCCACGAAGTCTTCGCTCAGAGAATGAGGTCAGGTTGAATAATTCAAGGCGATCTTCATAGCTTGGTCTTCGTGCTCCAAAAGGGATACGAGTAGCCCAACGCTGTACTGATTCGACGTGATTTCTATCGCGCAGAAGCACAGTGTCCCATACCGGGCCAGCGAATTCAAGAATTGGCCTCACGAATGCCTTGTAAATGTAGGCGCAAGTGTTGACATCGGATCCTTTGAAAGACCTCTCCAGCATGTATAGAAGTTTCTTGGCTTTTGATGTATCGTGGTGAATATGCTCTGACCAGGAAAGACGATCGTTGACTACAACGCCCAGATCAGTGTGGCTGGAAACTGCTTCGATGTTGTGGTCAGAGATCTTGTATGTAAATCGCGGATTTGTCTTCCCGAGGTGAAGGACACAACACTTAGTTAGATTTACATGTAAGGGTAAAAGCCAACTGACTGACCATTGACAAACAATATCAAGATCTCGTTGAAGCATAGCAGAATTTACGACAGTATTGTAAATCTTGGTGTCGTCGGCATAAGCTGAACATGTGGAGGAAATCAATGCGGGTAGGTCACTTGTATACAGAAGGAACAGCACTGGCCCCAAGACAGAGCCTTGAGGAACTCCACTTGCTACATGATGAAAGTGAAACTGGCTATCACTGACGCGCACAGAGAAAGTCCTCCCGGTGAGAAAAGCCTTAATCCACAGTAACAACTCGCCTCTTATTCCCATACATTCCAACTTAAACAGAAGCCTTCTATGCGGTACGCGATCGAAAGCCCTAGAAAAATCTAAGTAGATTATATCAACAGGAGTCTTTGTGTCCAATCGTTGAGAGAGTGGAGAAGGTTGGTCATTATTGATCGACCAGGGAGAAATCCATGCTGATTCTTAGGGATAAGGTCATTTTCGAAAGCAAATGGCAGGAGCTTATCTAATATGATTCTTTCAGCTATTTTGGCGGCGATAGGAACGAGACTTATTGGTCGATAATTTTTAGCGGAGGATTTGTCGCCCTTTTTGAATACAGGGGTAACAGAAGCACTAAGCCAGCATGAGGGTAGGGTATGAGATCTAAAAGACGATGTGAATATCAAGCTTAATGGTAGGGCCAGTGCTGAAGCGCAGTTTTTAAGTACAGCAGCCGTCATCCCATCTTTACCAGGGGAGGAAGAGGTCTTCAGATTTCGCAGGTGCATTAATACATCTTCAGGCAGGAACTCATCTTCGCAAAGCCTGTTGGGACACCTATGGCAGATAGTGGTCGGTAGAAGGTCTCCATTAGGCTCATCGATGAAGTCATCACTAAAGGACTCTGCCAGTAAGTGGGCAGATTCGGTGGCATCCATGTGGAGATGACCGTCAGCGTCGCGGATCTGAGGTGATGAAACTTTGGAATTCAGGTTTGTTCTTAGATACCGAAACAGCTTCTTCTTATTTTTGGAGGTAACGAGTTTTCGTTCATAAGCATGTTTGGCATTATGTAACGTTCTAGATAGGAGGTTAGAAAAGGATCGATGAGACACGTAATCTTGTGAATGGCCACTCCTCCTAAACCGTTACCGCAAAGATCTCTTGTGACGAAGCATGCTCGATATGTTAGAGTTGATTTTCATGAAGGGGCTCAGTGGTGTAAGTCTTCCAATCTGTTGGAGTTCCTGATAGAAACACATGGATTTAGATAATTCAATTTAGGATTGTCGTGTATAATCTGGAACAGAGTAGGTATAATCTTTCCGGATATTGTAAGGTTTCGATTGGACATTTTCCATGTTACACGTATCGATATCAGCACTGATAAAGTTCGACAGGTTATAAGAGTCACCGATATGTCGATATACAGGTGGTAGAAAAGACCAAAAAGGGACCTCAAATACCACCTATTAGAACAGAGGATTTTCTTTTGGCGAGTATCTAATGACTATTTTAATCGATGATAAAAGTGATGTCAGATTCGGAGTTCTTGCATTTGAAAGTCTCATAAAAAGTCATATAAAAATTACATACAGTTATGTGAGGTCTTAAAATACAGCAAATCGCAGTACGTATCACGCGTTCTATTCCTCATCAAGTTCGATCTATACATTTTTAACGGTATAATAAGCTGGTCGAGGAAAAACCGAGTTTTCCATAATTAGAAAACGATTAAATCGTCGGGATCGAAAATCGCGTTTCTTTTAAATAATTCCACAGAGATACAATTAAAAACTCCCCGTTGATACCGAGAAGCGAGGGTATCTTTAATTCAGGTTAATTACATCGAAAAATATCAACTAGCGAGATGAATATTTATGGTGATCATGTTGAGGCATAGACATCGCTCGAAAAATATACAGGAGGCGCAAATTGAGATTAATAAGAAAAAAATGTACGCATTTGGAGTCATAGTCTACAGTATATTCAGATAAGAGATAGACCGGATGTAAACAAAAGGATCGGGTGATTTTCACGCTAACGCCGCCGTCTCAACGTAAAACAGGAGCCCTCATTGGTCAATTCGCAATTAAATGCCTATGCCGAGCGGCAGAGCAGTCGTATCAAGGCAGAGTCACATTCAGTTTCAGACGTGTTACGTATGTCATGTGCATCATTGCAATTTGATATTTCTTTGGACGTTTTCGTTTGTTATCTTATTAAGTTGTTGAGTTTGTCGTTGTTATTGTTATACCTTGTTATTGATTGTTATTGTTATCAACTGCTTGCGCAAAATGCCCAGTAGTACAGATACTGCCGATGAAGTTGTAAACTCCTGTAGTCCACCTAGGAAACGCTCTAAAAAAAGACACCTGAGTGCAGAAATGAAAGAGGTCATTTTGAATATATATAAGATCGTGCGCGAGGAGAACGAGGCATCAACCATCAAAGAAATTGTTGTGAAGGTTTCACACAAAGTTGGGGTGTGTCGCGCATCAGTGTTTAATGTGTTAAGACAATACAAAAAAAATCACACCTTTTCTGAGCCAATGACCAGTAAACATCGCAAAAGTATTGTTAAATCATTGGATGAAGCTGATAAGCATGCGATTAGAAGGAAAGTGCATGAATTCTTCTTTAGGAATGAAATACCTACTATAGATAAAGTACTGCAGGAGGTAAATGGAGATACAACGTTGCCAAATTTCAAACGATCAACTTTGCATGCGTTACTGAAGCATTTAAATTTCAAATGGAAAAAACGGGGTCGTAATAGTTTACTACTGGATAGAGAAGAAATTGTGCTATGGAGGAGGGATTATTTAACAAAAATTGGGAAATATAGCAATCAAAACAGGAAGATTTATTACCTTGATGAAACGTGGGTAAACGCAGGACACACTACAAGTAAAGTATGGGTTGATGATTCTGTAACTTCATCCAGGAGGGCCTTTCTAGATGGACTGTCCACCGGATTAAAAAATCCAGCAGGTAAATACGAGTAATAGACAACAATCGGATGTTTTTCAAACCTTGGGAACAAGGTTCTAAACATTAATTCCAGGGGGCAGATAAAACATATTACAAGTAACAAAACTTTTATAACTTTCGATAAAATGCGTGGATGTTTTATTGTCATTTTCATTTGTTAGAACTTTTTTAAGCCATATTTTTATGTGTTTTCGATATTTCAATAATTTTTTAATATAATCTTAAAATATGTCGAATATTATAAACTTAAAAAAAGTTACTACGTTTTATATTGTGTACCGTTCCTAATATTTCTAATCATTTTAATTCATACTTTAAGCTTTATAAAGTTATAATTTGTTAATATTAATATTTGCGCGTATTTCAGGTTCTTGATCATTCATTTTTTAAAGGTTTATAACTTTAAATTAAATTGTGAAGCGCTGAGTAATCGTACGACGTTCAATATTCTTTCTTTCAATATGACTAAATAATCCCAATTATAGCAATCTGATACTCATGTCTCAATGTTTTTTCGCTGAATGTGATGAAAACATTTGAAAAAGGTTTGCTTATTGAAATAAATCTACACCAGTTAGTACTTCGATTTCCAGGTAAAGGGAAAAGGCTCATTATCTGCCATATTGGCAGTGAGGATGGATTTGTTGTTGACGGTCTGTGGTGCTTTGAGCTGCTCATTCGTTAGCTAGGAACGCCCTCTACCGAATACAGTCGGTGCGCGCATGCTCCAAAGTACAGTCATGGCGGAGTCCTATTACTTTCCGGACAAACCCTGTATAACACTTGCACAAATTCGATAATTTAAGTTATAGAAAATTTTAGAAATCACTTTTCTAGGATAGTCCAAAGATGCATAGAAAAATGTCCATAGTTCAAAAACTGAAAACCTGACAAACAAACTTTCCTAAACAACTGACTTCCTTTGTTCACCTTGTACAAACGGATAAATATAAGAAATATACCGGTCGAACCCTGTACGCGTTCTCAAAGAATTGGCGAAGAACCTCCCGAATACCGCAAGTCGATTTCTCTTTGTTCCGAAAATATCGAACTTTGAATTTGGGTAAAATTCCACCAGTTTAGAAGTGCTACGCCACTGGAGAAGACAGAAGGTACTTATTAAAATTAGATTTGTTCAGAGGCTTTTTATTTTTGTGAGAAATCATCAGCAGGGCGATAATAGCGCTCCGTACACCAAAATCGATGTCAAGATCGGTAATTATACATCACAGTAAAGTCTAATTATATATCTCTCATTTTATTTGCTTTTCACATGAATCTAATCATGATATCCGATGGGAAAAATTATATTAAACTGGCATGCGATGTTTTCTAGAGCTCGTTAAGTGATATAGATTTCTTTTATTAGAAAAAATGATTCCATAATTACAACACGAGACAGTATTTCGCCTTATATTTACTAAATGTTTCGGAATAACTGGGTCATGTCTGATTATGTGATAAAAAGATGGACAAAGGAGTTTGCTCTAACGCTCAAACATTTTTTTCTCGAAAACTATACGAGATGGCCTGGTTTTATAACAGACAAATAATTAAGTAAATAGACGGATGTTTTAAATAGAAAGAAATCAGGGCCGTTGGGAGAGTTGTGACAGAAGTCTGCTATATTTTATGTAAGGTAGGGGTAGTTTTCAACCTTTCAAATATTCGAATGTCTAGCCTGTTCCAAAATGTGTTTTAAAAAGAAAATACGTGCTACTTCTATGTCCACTGAATATGCATATAAATTTTTCCTACAAATTTTTCACTTGATATAGCATGTTACTGATTTCTCCAAGTTCCATCAAAAGGGTCATTAAACTGCCTTAAAGACTACCCCTTTCCTCTATTCTGATGAACCCGGTCGCCTCCCTACACCAGCATAATACCCTCAATAACAATCGTCGTATATACTTAGATTTAATGGAGACTATTTTCCCGATTAAGTCCCGATGCATTATTTACCCTGGACATTAGCGGAAGATCGTTACCGGCCCCCCCCGGCCAACTATGATTTACAATGATGGTCGAACGATATCGTAAAGCTTGAGTCTCGGTCATTTTCTGATGCTTTCTGGCATGGATTGTGCTATACGAGGACGTTGTCTGCATTATTTATTGCTAGATGAGCACGGCTACCGAAACGAGCTTTAGTGGAAAGCTAGAAAGGTGATCCTAACACTAAGGGCCAATTTCAACAAAAACAGCAGGCTACCTATAGGGTAACAGACCGTCAAATACAACGAATGATCTTCAAGTTCCAATCAACAAATTTTAGCAACCGATGGCTATGAAATGTTGAAAACAAAATACTGTCAAAGTATGAGGTGACAGCTTGTCATTTAAACATCACCAGCTTATTGAATATTAAGAAATTACATATAATTCAGTAACAATTTAAAGAAATGTAGGATTTTTGAATAAAATTCATGTTTTAATTACTATTGTTGATTTTTTATTCATGTTTATATTATTTTCTTCAATTGATATGCGATACTGGGTGTTTTTTCCTATAAGCCCCTTGCAGGTAGCCATTAAGCACCTACTTGATGACAGGCTCTACCAAAAGATAATGCTCGTTTCCATTTACTTGCCGTTCATCAGAACCATTATGGCACCTTAGATTGATATTCCCACAAAACCATTCAGGTGAACAAACATCCACACTATATTCACGGCGATTAAAAAATTTCCAAATATATGCCTTAAAGCTACCAGCAAACCTAAAACCTGCAAAAAAAACTACAAATTTGCCATATTTTTCTTTTTTCACGCGTACACATTCTAGGTTATATTTATATTAGACATTATTTGAATACAGCTGATTATTGCATTCCAAGGAGTGACACATGTGTGGGATCTGTCAACTCCTGGTACCAGTCACAAAACAAATACTCTGAAGGTTTAATTCCATGCTATTCAATGACAACACGGTGACTTGTGTGGTTGTCAGCGGCCATTTTGTGAGGGTGCGACACGGTTGCCAGATTGTGCACGAATATCCCGTTTCACCCTCCTGGTCCCAGTGGAGTAAGTTCCGCCAACTGTTGACATGTACTCTACTATGCTTTATAAGACTATTCGTGACATTTTTCCCAAAATCATTGCACAACACTTGAAAAAATGCAGATGAAAATTTAAAAGTATTTCCATGTCGCCGCAAAATAGCTCCGTCGGTACCTTGGGTTATACATCTTGACAGTAGAGATGTTCGATACGATCCTATGTTTAGAAGTATCAATACATTTTACGAGTATCGTCATCTTTCGATCCGGACTGTGTCAGAAAGAGTGACTACCATTTGGCTACGACATTACCCTGCTAAACCAGACATATCTTTCATCATTTTCAAACAAATTGAAGACACAGGCTGATGTAACAAAATCATAGTATAGGAGAAAATTGACTTTAAACATTTTGTATTGGGACTCATATACCTTATACTATGTATAGAGGATAGCTGCCCAGCTTTCGTTCATTGTCATTTTTTCCTTCATCTTTCTTTCATCGCTTTTTCGCGTGTCCTTTCTTTCTACTGGTCACTTCGTATTGTTCGGAATTGTTTACTCACCGTGAACTGCTTCTCGCCCGTGGGACCGACCGTCGCGATCCTATTCTGCAACTCCCTTTCGTGCTCCCACTTCCACCTGCCGTCCAGGCCCTTCACGGGGCTGATCACAGTCGTGCTGATCGCAGCGTCGCCCTTCAGCGAGGAAGAGGACTTCGTCTCTTGCTCGCACAGGCTGCCCGGCGACCAAATGCTGTGCGTTCGAGATCTGCCCTTCAGGGAGAGATTCAACGGCGCATCGTCGTCTGGAACAGGACGGGGATTAGAAACATTACGGAAAGGTGTAGTGATGATAAATAGTCCTGATTCGAGGAATTATAAAGGACCAAAAACTAAGAAACCGTTTCGTCCTTGGCATAGTGATAAACAAACGATACTGAAAACAAACAACTAGACAGTCCGCTGAAAAAATCAACTGTTAGTAACCATTACTTAATCTGGCCCAGATAAGTGAACACTGCAACATAAGTATAATTGGTAGAATTGTAGATTAACGGGTGTTTAACGCACGTCATTCAGTTGAAAAATAAATTACCTACTAGATATACCTTTGTTTGCCTGTCGCAAATTACGTCATTAGTTTGAAATACAGATTACGATTTCAGTAAAAAAACTATCAACATTTTTATAGGGTCCCACAACAATGACAGCCACAATAATGAAAAAGGTAATCGTCCCTTAATAAAAAGAGTCTCAAATTTCCTGGTGATAATCAAGCCAGGATCTCTTATGAAAGGCAAAATCGCTACACCAGTACTCTCCTTTCTAGCCCGATCACGATGAATGCAACAAGGTATAAAGTGTGTGACGATCGGATCCTTGGGGAATACTCGCGTTGAAAACGATATAACTGTCAATAAAAATGCACTTACCGGTGATCTTGGACTTCGTATCCGGGCTGAGTCCCGCATGGTCCAGCGTCGTTGAGGAGCGATCGGGACTTAGGGAATCGGGCCTGTGGGCGGGGGAATAAGGAAGGAACAAACCGGGAATAGGATGCCACATGTAGGGCGCGTAAGGGGTAGACACGAGAGGGGAAAGGGAATTCGCGTACATTATCGCGCTCATATCTGCAACAAAGAAAGTCAGGTATTATATTTCATCTGTGGAAGGGGGAACAGGGTCTATGGGCGAGGGAACAGACGAGGATACACTGTCGCATGTAGGACCTTGATCGAGATTGAGGGATTCGGGCTTCTGGGCGGGGGAACTGTGTCTTTGGCCGAGAAAATCGTGTTTCTGAACTAGGAAAAAGGAAGAAACAGGCTGGGATAAAGTGCCACGTATGAGACAGTAAAAATGTTGCATTTTAGTGCGTTTATCTAAACATTGATCGAGACCGAGGAAATCGGGCTAATGTGCGGGGGAACTGGGTGGTTGGGCGAGGAAATAAAATTTCTGGGCGAGGGAAAAGGGAAAAAGCAAGCCGGAAGTATAGTGATACTTGTGGGACGGTAAAATAGTTGCATTTTAGTGTTTTTATCCAAATCTTGATTGAGGGTGATGGATTTCGGCTTATGGGCGGGGGAACTATGTCCATGACCGAGGAAATCGAGTTTCTGAGCTAGGGAAAAGGGAAGTACCGGAAACAGAGTTATATATGTAGGATGGCAAAACAGTTGTGTCTTAGCGTATTTATAAAAACCTTGATCAAGACTAAGGGTATCGGCCTTATGGGCGGGCGAACTGAGTATTTGGCAGAGGGAGTCGGTTTTCTAAGCGAGGAAAAAGAAAATACATGCCGAGAATGGAGTGTCACATGTGAGACGGTAAAAGTGTTGTATTTTAGTGCGTTTATCTAAACTTTGATCGAAGCAGTGGAAATCGGACTAATGTGCGGGGGAACTGGGTGTTTGGGCGAGGAAATCAAATTTCTGGGCGAGGGAAAAGGGAAAAAGCAAGCCGGAAATATAGTGATACTTGTGGGACGGTAAAATAGTTGTATTTTAGTCCAAATCTTGATTGAGGGTGAGGAATTCCGGCACATGGGCGGGGGAACTGGGTCCTTGACCGAGGAAATCGAGTTTCTAAGCTGGGGAAAATGAAAGTAGCCGAAAACAGAGTGATATATGTAGGATGGTAAAATAGTCGTGTTTTAGTATATACATAAAAACCTTGATCAAGATTAAGGGTATCGGCCTTATGGGCGGGGGAACTGAGTATTTGGCAGAGGGAGTCGGTTTTCGAAGCGAGGAAAAAGAAAGAAACATGCCGAGAATGGAGTGCCACATGTGAGACGGTAAAAGTGTTGTATTTTAGTGCGTTTATCTAAACTTTGATCGAGGCAGTGGAAATCGGACTAACGTGCGGGGGAACTGGGTGTGTGGGCGAGGAAATCAAATTTCTGTGCGAGGGAAAAGGAAAAAAGCAAGCCGGAAATATAGTGATACTTGTGGGACGGTAAAATAGTTGTATTTTAGTCCAAATCTTGATTGAGGGTGAGGAATTCCGGCTCATGGGCGGGGGAACTGGGTCCTTGACCGAGGAAGTCGAGTTTCTGAGCTAGGGAAAATGAAAGTAGCCTGAAACAGAGTGATATATGTAGGATGGTAAAATGTCGTGTTTTAGTATATACATAAAAACCTTGATCAAGATTAAGGGTATCGGCCTTATGGGCGGGGGAACTGAGTATTTGGCAGTGGGGGTCGGTTTTAGAAGCGAGGAAAAAGAAAGAAACATACCGAGAATGGAGTGTCACTTGCGAGACGGTAAAAGTGTTGTATTTTAGAGCATTTATCTAAACTTTGTCGAGGCAGTGGAAATCGGACTAATGTGCGGGGGAACTCGGTGTGTGGGCGAGGAAATCAAATTTCTGGACGAGTGAAAAGGGAAAAAGCAAGCCGGAAATATAGTGATTCTTGGGAGACGGTAAAATAGTTGTATTTTCGTGTATTTATCCAAACCTTGATTGAGGGTGAGGAATTCCAGCTCATGGGCGGGGGAACTGGGTCCTTGACCGAGGAAATCGAGTTTCTGAGCTAGGGAAAATGAAAGTAGCCGGAAACAGAGTGATATATGTAGGATGGTAAAATAGTCGTGTTTTAGTATATACATAAAAACCGTGATCAAGATTAAGGGTATCGGTCTTATGGGCGGGGGAACTGAGTATTTGGCAGAGGGAGTCGGTTTTCGAAGCGAGGAAAAAGAAAGAAACATGCCGAGAATGGAGTGCCACATGCGAGACGGTAAAAGTGTTGTATTTTAGTGCGTTTATCTAAACTTTGATCGAGGCAGTGGAAATCGGACTAATGTGCGGGGAACTGGGTATTTGGGACAGGAAATAAAATTTCTGGGCAAGGGAAAAGGGAAAAAGCAAGCCGGAATTATAGTGATTCTTGGGAGACGGTAAAATAGTTGTATTTTAGAGTATTTGTCCAAATCTTGATTGAGGGTGAGGAATTCCGGCTTATGGGCGGCGGAACTGGGTCCTTGACCGAGGAAATCGAGTTTCTGAGCTAGGGAAAATGAAAGTATCCGGAAACAGAGTTATATATATAGGATGGTAAAATCGTTGTGTTTTAGTGTATTTATAAAAACCTTGATCAAGACTAAGGGTATCGGTCTTATGGGCGGGGGAACTGAGTATTTGGCAGAAGGTGTCGGTTTTCTAAGCGAGGAAAAAGAAAGAAACATGCCGAGAATGGAGTGCCACATGCGGGACGGTAAAAGTGTTGTATTTTAGTGCGTTTATCCAAACCGTGATCGATACTGAAGAAATCGGGTTAATCTACGCGGGAACCGAGTCTTTGACCGAGGAAATCAGGTATCTGGGCGAGGGGAAAGAGAAGAAACAACACGGAAATATAGCGATACATGTGAAACGGTAAAATAGTTGTATTTCCGTGTATTTATTTGAATCTTGATCGAGACTAAGGAAATCAGGCTTATGGGCGGAGGAACTGAGTTTTTGACAGAAGGAATTGGTTTTCTAGATGAGAAAAAAGTAAGAAACAGGCCGGGAATAGAGTACCTAGTGTGAGACGGTAAAAATTTTATATTTTAGTGCGTTTATCCACACATTGATCGATACTGAGGAAACCGGGATAATGCGCGGGGGAACTGAGTCTTTGGCGTAGGAAATCAGGTGTCTGGGCGAGGGGAAAGAGAAAAAGCAAGCCGAAAATATAGTCATACATGTGGGATGGTAAAATAGTTGTGTTTTAGTGTATTTACTTAATATTAAATACATCGGGATTTAGGGAATCAGGGTCATAGGCGGGAGATCAGGATTTATGAGCGAGGGAATCAGGTTTTTGGGCGAGGGAAGAGGAAGGGAACAGACCGGACATGGAGTTTCACGTGAAGGGAGGTGAAATAGTTGTATTTTTGTGTAACTATGGAAACTTAGAGAGATCGAGACTGGGGAAATCGGGTCTATGTATGGGCCAGTCAAAGGAAATGAGGAGACATTGAAATAGTTGGATTTTGCTATAATTATGTATTTATAGAGTAGAAACAGAGGGGAATCGGGCTTACAGGTGGTGGGATAGTGTAGGAAAATACGTTATTATAATTGCTAATGTCAAACAATGAACTTACTGTACAAGATTCTATCCCTGAGCGTTGCAAATGGTGTCATGTTCTTGCAGTTACTTTCACGTTTCGCCTTGAAAATATACCGACATAGTATCACAAAGCCAACATTCGAAATGACTGAATGACTGTCAGGTTTACCGATTCTAGCCAATAATTAACCAAACAATATCAGTCTTTATGTGCTTTTTAAAAATGAGTCCCACAACTAAGGTTGTACTGATAGCGCTATCTAAGTGCGCGGTTTTCATTTTTAAATGGCAGGTACAAAATGATTTAGGAGCGCTTTGACGGCGAATATTTCAAAGACAAATATTTGCTCAGGCTGACAAGTGACATCAAACCTTACTGTCGGTAACGATGTTGGAAACTGATTGCTTGAGCTTGAGGGTAAACAATCGGGCCACCGTTATGTTACCGATTAAACAATATACGGAAAATAGTTAAACGATTATAAGAATATAATACTTACTGTTGACAGCAAAATAGGCCGTCTTGTCTCCCTTCTGGAACTCCTTCGGGTAGACCAACGAAAACGCGCTGTGCCTAGACGACGGTGTTGGTGACCGTGGCGAGGTGGGGCTCACACTTCGAGAGGAGGAGGTGGCACCGGTGCCGCCCAAAGGGCTGCAAGGGGATCGAGGAGGAGTGTAAGGCTGGAGGGGTGGGGGATGTTGAGGATGGGAGGCGGTTAGGGATGATAGGCGGGGCATCCTGAAACAAAAAGAAAGTAATGTTTAATAGATTTTCAAGGAAAAATAAGTTATAAATAAGGGAAATCAGAATACGGATAAGCCTAAATGTATTCATCATGCTCCAAAATAAGCCGTGATGAGATTAAGAAGTGTTTTTATACAGGGTGACTTTGAAGTTGAGTCATTAATTTTCAGATAATGATTGTAGAAGGAAGATATTCAAAATATGTGTGTAAAAATAAAAAAAATTAAAAAAAAATTTTTACCTTGTTTTATAAAGTATCCTCCCGACAAGTATTTCAGTGCGGACCTGTATTTGATCGTGAGGTCCCCTGTGAGGTCTTAAATCACCTGATTCACGAGCCCGTTGTACTACATTAACAAAGGCACGAGGGGTTGGTTGCACTCGATTGGGAAACCGATCCGCATAAACATGTGCCATTTTTTATTTCGTTTGAGCCACGCAACAGACACTATTCACATGCGACTGACACTGACTGTATGTATAACTGAACTGAATAAAATAATTGTAAAAACATCGTTCCAAATTCTTTCGCTTTTTTGTTTCCGATGCGATGAACCGATACGGCGGATTATATCCGTTGTTGCCAAACACGAGCACATGATATTATTATTGAGACAGGGCGGTACTCAAACTTCCAAAGGGCTATAACTTTGTTACTTTAATTTTACCAGAAAAATGGTAAAGGAAAAAAACATTTCTTTTGATCAGATCTACTCACTGTTAAAATAAATGACTCAACTTCGAAGTCACCCTGTATAAGTGAAACATTCTTTTGCAAATATTCAAAGCACTTGTCTCCAAAAAGTAAATAAGTTATGATGGAGATACTGAAATCACTGGCTTTCCAAATAGCTAACACAGAAGTTTTTAATCGCGCCCCAAATTATCCCGGTGTCTCGAGTTTCGTTGACTTGTAGGAAAATTTTCCCAGAATACTTGTCAAATGTAAAAACGCATTCTCCAATAGTCATGAATTTATTGCTTAAGGGTGAAGTACATATTTATTTATTTATTTATTTACTAGTATATACACTATCCGAACGGTTTATTACACCATTTAACGGATACTAACACAGGAATCAATTCTAAGACAAAATTGTTCAAAAATAACTTAAAATTGCCAAATGACTTAACCTACTGTTATGTAAAATCTTTTTAAGCTACGCAAATTACAAAAGAACAAATCTACTGCGTTTCTTGCACGTTCATAGTTGTTACATACATACATATAAATATTACATGCGGAATAATGCAGCATATATCTGCTACTCGAATCAACAGTCCGGATTGATAGATTATTTTTTAAATTCACGCGATAAAGTTATCCAACGATGCCAGATGTCGTTCGTTCCGTCCACTGTAATAAATCATGCAATATTTTCTAGTTTAACCGCATAAATATGCGATTTGCTATTGAATCTTTAAACAGAAAAGTGATATGCTACGGTATACATCGTGCTACACAATTTCCAACGGACTGCGAACGCCAAGTCGCGTCAGCCCATCCCAAGTCCACGTAAGAAAACATCAGATCCACGTAGAGCCACGTGGATAAGGGAGGATCGTACAATCTGTTGTGTGTGCGTTTATATCACGCGGTTTTAATCTTGTCTATTATTAAAGGCAATACAGTCGATAGAGATAGTTTGGACCCGCTATAACGTGATTGGAAAGATGCAAAGATAATATACAGGGTGGCGCATCGAAAACGAAACACACGCATTTACTGGCAGCTCAGTTCTTTTTTTTTGGAAAAACGCTCAGACCCGTCGATTTTGTTTTCGAGGGAGACACAAGTTTGGAAAAAAATTACGTTAACAAGTGCAGCCCCCTAAGCGGGGGTGACCCCTCGCCCAAAATTTTAAATGGAAAGGGGGGTATCGAGTGATACCTTATTTCAAAGGTCTTTCAATTCCCTCTATAATGATGTGAAATAAATGAGCTTCAGTTCAGTAGTTTTGAAGATTTATTGATTTAAAGTTTAAATAAAACTAATACATCATCATTAGTGGAGATCAATCGAAAATATGTTCTAGAACTTGTAGCTAAATTTGACCGGTGAACTGTATTTGGAATTACTGGAAGACGCCATAGATCTTGCATTAACAGCCATAATTGAAAATCATAATGATCGGCGGTACATTGCGAATAGGTTGATGTTCCAACAGGATGGTGCCCCACCACATTACGCATTACGTGTTCGACAATATTTAGATCAGACGTTCCCAGATCGATGGATTGGTAGAAGAGGTGCCATTGAATGGCCCCCAAGATCGCCAGATTTATCACCTTTGGATTTCTTTATGTGGGGTCATTTAAAAAGCAAAATCTATGCTACGCAGTCAACATCATTAGAAGACCTGCGACAAAGAATTGTGAATGAGTGCCTTCAAATTACTCCTCAAATATTGCAAAATGTGCAACAACGTGTTGAACAAAATCTTTATTATTGCATGGAGAGTCATGGTGGCCATTTTCAACATTTACTTGCCTAACGGGTCAGTTCATTCTTCATTTTTAAATTACTTTGCTGCCAAATGTATTGATCTCCACTAATGATGATGTATTAGTTTTATTTAAGCTTTAAATCAATAAATCTGCAAAACTACTGAACTGAAGTACATTAATTTTATATCATTATAAAGCGAATTGAAAGACCTTCAAAATAAGGTATCACTCGACCCCCCTTTCTATTTAAGATTTTGGGGATGGTGTCACCCCCGCTTAGGGGACTGCACGAGCTAACGTGATTTTTTGCCAAACTTGTGTCCCCCTCGAAAACAAAATCGACGGGCCTGAGCGTTTTTTAAAAAAAAACTGAGCTGCCAGTAAATGTGTCTTTTTCGTTTTCGATGCGCCTCCCTGTATATGAAAATATGGAAACAAAATGTCAAAATATGATAAAAGAATGCAAAATGGGTCGATACAGCGTTCTCATTTAAGCAGAGTGTTATTATTTCACTTAGCACTGGCTTTGGTATGAAAAAGTTGAAAATTAAGGTAAATCGGAACCTCTTAAACAACCGGCAGGTGAACTAAGACAATTGGGTTTAATTTGAGGATCTTCCAAAACATTTTTTGTTGCGTCTAAGTTTAGTGAGAAACATCGATCGCTACCTACCAGCTTCGGTGAAGACTTGAATTCTGACTGGAAAACGCGGGAACGCATCTGGATTCGTCGATTAGAAAATAAATACACTCACAGCGAGAAAAATGAGGAGAGTCGACCGAGAGTGGATGATGAGTTAACCGCTCCTAGGAGCACCATAGACCAGTCAAAATAGTCATAAATTGGTAATCGAACAGTATTGTAATAAATTAGTGTGGGAGTAAAAAATCTAATAGGAACATAAGGTAGTTCTTTCTATAACTTTGGGTTTCGCATAAAGTTTTTTGGGGGTTTAGATTACTAAATTGTTTTGTTAGACGCATGCTCTGCGGATAAAAATATGCTGAATCTCTTGGACGTTGCATTCTCTTCGAAGCAATAATTAAATATTGTGTCTTCCACATCGTCTCTCCAGTATATCGTATGATATTCTTTGGCATAAAAATTATCCATCGAATTACCAAGGCAAACAGATCCGCGCCGAAATTACATCGGGTCCGTCTTTTCAAAAATCCATTTCACAATAATTATCGGCTCATCCCGTATTGAAATTTGGCAGGCTATTTTCTTTAACGAGACGTTCTCAGGTAACACTTTCCGTACTTTCCATGTATGTCCATGTAATTTTAAAATCACTCCTGTACACACACCTCACGTCTGACGCCCAATTTTTCTCGTTATTACCGCGTTTAAACGCTGTGGGAGTGGCCATATTTTCGCACCGAAAAGTCCAAGCAAATTATATTACTTTTTGTCGTTCGGAATTCGAGATGTGCCGAAAAAAATGGAAGTTCTTTTCTTCAAACGCATATCCTCCAAAGAACATTATTTACTGAATCGTTGACAAGAGTTTGTTACGAACCAAGAAAAAATTGAAGATTCGACCTCTGTTCGAGGTATCTAAAGTAAAGTTTAAGCCTTGCTTTAAAGGAGTCGAAGAGCATTTTGGGATTAATGCGAAATGCGATGTTTAACCTGGTCTGTTCAAGTATTTCAGACGTATGAAACGTCAGTAGCACAGATGCGCAACGCATTGCAATCCCGGCGGTTGCCGTTGAAAACACTGAACAATCGCACTGTTATGAATAATTAGGTAGACGGTGAGGGGAAAATAAAAACAGAGGCATGCATGTGACCCTCGGAACAAGCCTAGACGGTCAGCAAAATTACAGTGAAGAGGGAAGGGAAAAGGTTGTTTAATGACAATGGGACGAGCGAGAATCACGCAATACACATCCCTTTCTGCATATTGATCGCTGCTCGTCGGACACAGATTATTGTCAGACAATTGCCGATACCCAGGCGAACGAAGTAAACATCGAAAAAGAATCTATTAGAAACTAAATATACAGGCAGCTCAGTTTTTTTTTGAAAAACGCTCAGACCCACCGATTTCGTTTTCGAGGGAGACACAAGTTTGGCAAAAAATCACGATAACACGTGTGCAGTCCCTTGGGCGGGGGTGACACCATCCCCAAAATCTTAAATGGAAAGGCGGGTCGAGTGATACCTTATTTTAAAGGTCTTTCAATTCCCTTTATAATGATGTAAAATACATGAGCTTCAGTTCAGTAGTTTTGAAGATTTAATGATTTAAAGCTTAAAGTACACTTTAATAGATACATCAGATTAGTTTGTACTACTTTCAGAAGAAATTTGACTAAAAGAATTTACTTAATAAGTAAATGCTTTTCTTTACTACGCCCATGGTTTGTTTATCATTTTGTTGTTGAAAATAGCTATTGAAGCGTTTTTTTTTTGTGGCAAAAAAGTTATTGGAATTGAAAGACCTTTAAAATAACGTATCACTCGACCCCCCTTTCCATTTAAGATTTTGGGGATGGTGTCACCCCCGCTTAGGGCACTGCACGTGCTAACGTGATTT